AAAAGGAAATATTTATGAATGTAGACAAATAAGCAGGATTAGTTGTTAGCACAGTTACAGAAAACTAGCCTCTCAGTAATTCTGAGAAAGATCTTAATTCCAAGGAATGGATCTAACTCCCTAGGCATATCAACATTTTTAGTCACTAACATAAACAAATGATGGCATTTTCACAAATGGATGCACCTGTTTTCATGGTGCACCTCTGTCCCAAGCTGGTTGAGCACTCATGTCTTCTTCCTAATTATTGATTAGTGCCTCGATTTTACAACTTAAAATAAAACCAGGCCCTTAAGTTGCAGAGTGTTACTGATTTTGTTTGTATTTTGCTCTTCTCTGTTAAGCGTTAATGTTCTGAATGTTAAGTTTTGGAAAGAATAAAGAGTAAGTACAAGATATGCAGTAACTTTCCAATGATTTTAGGAGCCTAATGAACAATGGTGCAGATTTGTTTGAATATGAATGTGCAGTGGGATGGAGTTTGACCTTCAGCTGTGATTTCAGTTCGTCAGGATTAGTCAAGCTAGGCGATCAAGACTGCTAATGCATAATGATTTATAAAATGAAAAATGTGTAGTGACCATGCAAATGTTTCAGCTAATCAAAGAGGGGAACTTTAGCTTAGAGAAGAAAGAAAAACAAGGGCATGTCAAGGCCTAAACCAAAGATGTATGTAAAATAATCTGAGCAGCTTGATTAGCCAGAGTGAGATTAGAAGTTGCATTTTTGGCCTTTAAGCATATGGTGTAGCATATTATATATCACTTCTTCATAATCTCTACGACGACATGCCTATATGAGCAGCCTAATTTTCACCAGTAGTACAAAGAAAAGACTATCATCTCTCCGGAAATATCTGTGTGTAGCTAAAGGAAGGGTAAAGTTGAACTAACTCTGCTTCCCAAAACTGAAAACATTTTGCTTTTTCAAAGTAATCAAATGAATTCTGAATTAAGACTAGTATGTCATAGTAACAGTAGAAACTAAGAAATGATTAAAGGTAGTCTCTGTGACTATTACTGCATTGTGCTGTTCTCGGTGTTTCCTTGCTGCTAAAAGATTGCATTAAAGAGCAGTATATACTGTCCATCCTGAACCTCTTCAAATACTCCTGTTCAGTACTTGATGAAGGCTTACAAATGCCACTCGATTCAGTGTTGTTTCTTCTTAAAACTATTAAGACCAGGAAGCTTTTGAAAGGCTATTACTGTGGCAACATTATAACACATAACTAGGACTTGAATTCGGACCAAGTCAGGCAATTCAATACAATATTTCCTTATGTTAGAGCAAACTACAGATCTAGATGTTGTAGAGAGGAAAGAAGTAAACAGAAGAATTGTATTGAGAAAATTAAATTAAATATTTCTTATCAATAGTTTGTTAAAATGGTAGGAGATTGTATAATTTAAAAAAAGAATTTGCATTTACTTCACAGTTAATCATAATAGTTACCTTTTTTGTTTATTTATGTAAGTATCAAGGCAAGGAGATCAGGACATTCTTTGTCTTCTAATCTTAAGCAAGAGTAAAAGGACCTGTGAATCAGTAGTTGGCAGACTCTGGAAAATAATGTTTTTCACTGTAAATCTCATCTACAGGTTGCAACTGCTTTTTCCAGTTCGCATTTAGTGGAGAAAGAATTGGACTGACACTATGCTAAGAACCTTTCCAGTCACCCACACATAATTGGGATGTTTAATTAAGCAACACACTTAGTATGCAGACCCCCAACACTTTCAGAAATTTTCCAACTGAACTTGATTATAAAAAGACAGTGTGTTGTCAAACAAGAAAAAATTGGTACATTTTCATAACTTCAACAGTAACTCTTTAGATGCGGTTGAACAGAGGCATGATCTTTGCATTGTCTTCTAAAATCTTTCCTGACCTCTTCAATGAAGTGCACTTAAAGTTATCACCAGTTTGGCTTATTTCAAGACAATTCCCAAATTTTTCTTCTCATTTAAGAGTGCAAAACACACATTAGGGTTTGTGCTTAATTTGTCTAATGAGAAAAAAAAAAAAAAACATGAAAAATCTTGTTTAGTGCATCACTATGGGGAATTTTAGATCTCCCAACATGGAAATACCAAGAGTGAAGTGAAGAGAATTTCCCAAGCAAAGTTGACTGTTTGCTCCACTCTTCACTATCTTAACAAGTAAGCCTGAGTGTTCACTAGGTCACTCAGCTGTTCTTTCTGATTTCATTTGTGGGTACTCTCACCCGATTTTTTTTTATTCTCATCAGAAAAATATCTGAGATACATTTCCCCTCTCATACCCTATCACGCATCTAAATTGTGGTCTCTCCTTAGAATATTTCCGTGAATAAAATTATATATGTAGTGAAAATATTTTCTTAATTTTAATTCTGAACTTGCTAAGGTATGTGTATTCCAGAGAGTTGTTCGTAGATTGCTAAAACGTGATGCTGTTTTTTTCTGTATAAATATTGGTAAGCAGAATAGTCTCAGTCTCTATTCATTTTTTTTTTCAGAGAATTCCTAGAGTAGCTGTGGTAGTTAAAGAAATGCAGTGGGAGACGTACAGAAGTGATGCAGGAGGATTTAAGGAAGTGTGTCAGTTAAAACTAGTCACAAAAATGGAAAGGTTCTACATTTTAGAAATTATTGATCTGAACAAGGCAAATGGGGCAGTCCACATAAAACACAGAACTGACATTTCTTGTAGGGAGAACCAATATTCTGTCCATTAAAATAATTTAAATCTTTAGTAGCCTTATGTGTCTTACTTGGGGTGAGCTTTTGTGTACGGATTGACAAATAGTATTGGCTTATTTGTAGTGTTAGAAATCCCTCAGAAATGTACTTATGCTTTCCTACCTATATAATTATTTTTGTGGATTTTTTACTTCTGGAAGCAGAGAATTCAATTAGTTATATATCTTTATGTCTGTGAATTGTTAGTTTTCTAGAAGGAAGGCCAGAGTGTGCTTAAAATTTGCAAAATATCACATGCATGTGAGCACTTAATATGCATGATGTTTAGATATGATGGTTATATTTATGTCATCACTATTAATTGTAAGACACTAAAGACATTTAAAAATTTATCCAACTTACAGAGAAAGGGCTAAAGAACTCTGTGAAGATGAAAACCTTGATTAAATTTGATCATACAACAAATCGGTCACAGAGCAAACTGTAGAGTTGTGTTATATGTGTGGGCTGATATCTGTCAGCTTGCAACATGCTTGCATGCGTCCCTTCATAGGTCTTTCATTATGAAGCTCATTGGTTGTGAATATACATAAAGTAATTTTACTTATAGAGTAAAATAAAGTGAAAACACTTAATATGCTGAAAGTGACAATGGGCTGCTAAGTGACAGTGTGGCAAGCCTCCCATCATATGGCCAACTGTATACATGGTGTATGTCTATGAATGTAATTTCTCTATCAATCTATGATCTCCACATATATATCTTATTATGATAAATCCAAGTATAATAATCTATAGGTATGTCAATATATGCTAAAAATCCAGAAATATTTTTGAAAATCACTGTTTTCTGTCATAATGTTTCTTGTTCTTGTTATAAAATTAGATCTAATTAATTCGTGTTTCAAGATGTCAGCACTGGAAAAAGAAAAGACATGACTATTTTTCACAATTAAATATGAGGGTTTTTTTTCTGAAAGAAAGTAATTAATCTATCCTGGATTTCTTTTTTTTCCTGACCCCTTATTCATTATTAATTTCTTTTTCTTTATGACATAAAGTGCAAGACTGGAAAAGTTTGAACTGCATTAAAAAATGACTCAAAATAAATTGTGAACCATGTCTATTAATTTTTTTTCTGTATCCAAAGACATTGTCCCATAAATTTGTTCTAGAGCAGTATTTATATAAATACTTGCTTTTACTTACAGTAAAAGTGGATTATTTTATCTAGGAAAGGAAGTGATTTGTTTTTAAAAGATTGCAAACTTGGTGACTTGACAAGTTGGTTTTGCACTGGTTAGTACGAGCAAGGCCTGCCTGCAGTGCAGGCACCTCCAAACTGTGCACATGCCTCAAGCTGCTACACAGCGCTTTCCTACTCGGCCCTTTTGCTGTCTTTTCCTTGTGTCTCCACATCCTTTCTCTCTCTCGAGTGTTCTCTTGTGCTTTTCCTTATATTTTATTTTCATTGCATCCCTTTCTTCCTCTGTATTTTTCTCTGTCTCCCCATTTTTCCTTTCTTTGAGTCCCTTTTGTTCTCTGAAAATTGAAGAAAAAGGAAGTGGTAGAAAAGTAAAGTTTAAGAAAAATACTTTGAATTTTTTTTCAGTTTAATGAATAGGCTTTGAGTGATCTTTAGGTTTCTGGACTTCCTGGTATACAGTGCTTGACACAGGAAAATGTTTAAAGATGCAGCTACAATACTAGGCTCATAATTCCTTCTTTCAGAGGGCCTATCTGCGGCAGCTGTTTCCCTGTATATGTATATATACACCCAGTAGATGTATATGCTTATGTGGTAATATGCGCTATTATGACTATTTTCTGGTGTAATATATGTTATATGTAAAATATTATAACGATGGTGATTGTATTACATCAGCAAGTATGTTCTACACATGTGCTTTTTACTGACCGTTTATATTATTTGTAATCATTTAATCGTGTTGATTTACTTTAATCGTACCTTGAAACATTTCAAAAAGCTTTTCACGTATAGCACTGTGACACTGACGATTAGTGATAGGAAGTATGGAGAGCGTTGCCATGGGATTGTTTATTTTATCTGTCCAGCCAGAACTCAGACATCTTAACCTTATACGTAAGAGGTGTGGTGCATAAGCTGGAGTCTGATGAGAGCCGATGCCCCTGACAGTTAGTGTTTAAGTACTGTGCAGCTTTCATATTATTGTCAAAGAAGCAACTAACATAAACTGTATAAATTGTGTAAAGACACTGTGAGAAATGGCACGTGGTTGTGAGCTGAGCTCGCAGACACCTAACGATGGCTTTCTCTCTCTCCACCTGTGGAAGGTGCCTGTGTCAGTGGCCATGATGACCCCGCAGGTGATGACCCCTCAGCAAATGCAGCAGATCCTCCAGCAGCAAGTCCTGTCTCCTCAGCAGCTCCAAGCCCTGCTCCAGCAGCAGCAGGCGGTCATGCTGCAGCAGGTAATGTGGCTAACCTGCTCTGATGTCCTAGGCTGGCTCAGAAGGTGTGCACCCATGTGGACGGTGCAGTGGGCACATGGAACATGCGGGACAGCCTGTCAGCGTACTAGAACAAACATGCTACATTTTAGTTGGAGGGCTGGTCAAGAAAAGTCAGATTCCTTGGTCTTTTTAAATTCGTTTAAGTTCTTGAATAAGAGCAGAGAGTTGCAATTTGAAAAAAGAATAAACCAAGTTTTAGGTATTCAAATGCTTAAGTACTTTTGATTTAGAGACTGATCAACAAAAGTGCCAACATAGTTTTCAGGTAACTGTTGCTTCTAGGACTCCTAGCTCTTCAGCATTCCTTTAGTTCAATACGGATGAAATTTGAACTGGCCATTTTGTGGAAATGGAGGAAGGAACATCCAAACTTTCTGCTTACCAAAATATAGTCATCATTCAGGAAGAGAAAAATCTACTTGTTAGAACACGTTTAGGTGCTAAGGTACAGATTCATGAAGTTTATCTTTTTAAAATAACAAAAATAGTGTTCCTAATGTGTACTTTATTGCAGCCTTGAGTCTGTATAAATGGGATTTGTTACAAACTTACTTACCAAAGAGAAAATCATACACTTTATCTGATTCTTATACATTTTAATTATTTTGCTATCTTCCATGATGATGGCTACAGGCCGGTTGCTTGTATTTCTGTGAGACATTATCCTGAACATTTGATGGGTTAAATTTTCCCCCAAAATTTAGTCACTTGCTTTTATGGAACTAAATTTGATTCTTACAAATAGTAGAGTGTAACCTACTTGTAAATGCTAGTAAGGCTTTAGATGTACTTTAGATGATTTCTTGGGCACTGGCCCTTTAGAATACAGGTTTTCTATACCCTTTTGTTTAGGAATTTTTGGATTTTGGATTGGAAAAATTTCAGAGCTGCCTTGCAAAAAAAAATATATGTAGAGCTGTCTCTTTGAATCCAATGCATATTTTTGGTTATTGTTTTTGTGAGGTGAAGCTTAATGGCTACACTACCATATGCCAATCTAGAAGAGTTTAGGAGATTTATAATACATGAAACTTTTGCCTTTATTTATTAAAGTCAAAATGGTTTATTCAGCAACAACTACAAGAGTTTTACAAGAAACAGCAAGAGCAGTTACATCTTCAGCTTTTGCAGCAGCAGCAACAGCAGCAGCAGCAACAGCAGCAGCAGCAGCAGCAGCAGCAACAGCAGCAGCAGCAGCAGCAGCAGCAGCAACAGCAGCAGCAGCAGCATCCTGGAAAGCAGGCAAAAGAGGTAGGACCCTGTTATCTCATTGCTGGAGAATAGCATGAGGTTGAGAAGGGGCTTTGAAAGGCAAGGATCCTCTTAGATCTTCCCATAACGAGGCTCTTGCTGTCAGAGATGCGGTATTATATATTTTTAGTGAGCTTAATAACAGTAACTGTAGAACTCTCGTGCTCTCCCTTTTTTGTGGCATGGGACTTAGAGTTGCAACCCAATGCTGCTGTTGTCTGATGCTCACTAATGAATCACAGTGCACAATGAGCAAGCTGTGCAGTGGACAAAGTACTGATTATCTTGTATTCACTGGGAAGCTAAGTTGGTGAGGGAACCTTATTTTTCTCAGTGGTGCAGCTCAGAGAACACGCATGCAAATTTAGGCCATTGTTGGGGGTGGGGAGACTAGGGAGAAGCTGGTTGAGTACAGATTTCAAAGTCACAGGCCCCTGATTAATGAACTGCTACTGTAGGTTTGGAGTGGCGAGCAGAAAGTTACAGTTTGATATGCTCATAAATCAAACTGACAAGCTGGCTTCTCAGGCCTAGCTTGCACTTGTCAGCAAACTGCATCAAATATAAACATAATACAAACAAAACATGTTGAAGTAGTTAAATTGATCAGCAGGTATCAGAACCGTTGTCTTCAAGCTGCCCATTATGCAAACGTACAGGAAACAGTTTTGACCTCCTGAGGCTTTGTTTCTGTTTGGATTTGTGAATAGAATTTCAGACAGCCATCAACTACAGAATAGAAATTGCTCCCTTATTTCTCCGGAGGCTTTGGGCAATCCACATGACTTGCTCCATTATGCAGTCTGTTTTCCAGTGAGCGCATCAGAAGTTTCTCTTTTCCCCAAACTAAAAAGGAAAGGTCTTCCACAGCAGCTTGTCTTTCTCTGAAGTGTGACCACCATCTCCTACCCTCCTGAGTCCAAAGAACTCTGCTTTGTCTTGTAATGCCTCACAAAATTGGAAGTTATACTTTCCTTTATAATAAGGGCACTTTTTTTTCGCCTTGAACATAATTCTGCCTTTAAAATATTCCAACAAGAGAGGAGAGGAAAAGAGAGCTAACAGGCCTGTCCTGTAAAGGCTGCATCCCAGTTTACTAATAGATCACCAGAGACCACATTCATAGACCTCTGCAGAACAAACTTACTCAGTTGGAAAAAAAAGAAGAGTGTTGTGGAAGTTGATTGTTTCTATTAAATGTTATTTTTTTAGTCTAGATAAATTTATTATCCGCAGTAAACTGATTAAACACCGGTTTGAACCCTTCCTAGATCTTGTTCCACACCCTTACAAATGCAAGTTCCTTGGTTCTCTGTTGCTGTTTAATATTTGAAAGAAAGGCAACAGAACATCTAGAACTTGCTCACATTCTACCCCTGAACTTTGAACACAGGCTGACCGAAAACTCACCCAGGCAGTGAAAGTCGGGTGTGTTTTCTCTGTGTGAGAACTGTTTGTGCAGAGCGCGTTCTCTGCTGTTGACTGGCTTGGGTTTTCTGATGCCAGCAGCAGCAGCAGCAGCAGCAGCAGCAGCAGCAACAGCAGCAGCAGCAGCAGCAGTTGGCCGCCCAGCAGCTTGTCTTCCAGCAGCAGCTTCTCCAGATGCAACAGCTCCAGCAGCAGCAGCATCTGCTCAGCCTTCAGCGTCAGGGACTCATCTCCATTCCACCTGGCCAGGCGGCACTTCCTGTCCAGTCGCTGCCTCAAGGTACCCACCAGCGTTGTGCACATCTCATTTCCAGTCTTGTGCTTTCTACCATCTCATGGCCTGTCTACCTTATCCCTTGAGAGAGGTGGTTTTTATGACCTTCAAGTTGTTTTTAAAACATGAGTGTCACATAGTTGTACGGCCCATGTTCTAGAGGCTCAGAAATCTTAGGACACAAGGCTTTCAAGTAGGCGATAAAACTGCTTTCAAATGTTTTGGTGGATGTTAAAATGTATATGTAGTAGTCTTATAGGCAGAAAATAATTTATAAGGGCAGCGCACTATTGTAGATGCAAGCCGGTCCGTGGGAGATTGGATTACTGGAAAGGCAGACAGCACTGCATTTAATGTAATGAGCTGATAAAGAGTTTGGGTGGACAACTGATAATAAGAATCTTCATGCTGAAGATTCCACATATTAAAGAGAAGCCTCACGGATCTTAGTGGAGCACATCCCAAGTCATGCTTTGTGGAACCTCGTCCCATTTTGTGGGACCATATTTATTCTGTTTTCATGAAAATACCATTGCGTGGGCATGTAATGTGAATTATAAAAAAAAAAAACAAATATAAAAAACTTTCAACTGCTTTCTTACTTCTTTTCCTATAAGAAAACTGTATATACTCATAATATAACTGTATATATGACTGGTTTTCAACATTTGGGAAATGGAAAGAAGTTTAAGTAGCATAGAAAGTAATGGTAAACAAATGATTTTGTGTGCTAAATTCTCCATTTAGGTCAAAGTCATAAATCATTGAACTTTGTAAAAGGATATCCTTATTTGCATTTGGGTTTTGTTGGAACACACATTAATACAAATGTACTTTAATACAAATGAATTATACTGGTCACAGAAGGGTTCACATTATAGTAGTAATTGCTTAGACACTTTGGTGACTCTATTGGACACACTACAGAAATTCAAGAACAATTAAATAGACAAAAAGTGACCAAATAAAACCCAGTCTTTATAACGCAACGTGATCATTGTTTTATGGGGCATGAAATAAAAATATGGTGATAAATATTTTTATTTGGCAAATTACTGCCTCATTCATTGCCTTATATTTCCAAATTTTCCTCTTGCACTTGACTTTAGATTTCCCAATTTACTTGATTCAGGTACTCCAAGGAAACCAAGAAAGATAAATTTTAAATAGGGAAAGAAAAATGAAACAATAAACTCATTTTTTCAGAATTATTTTGAAGATAATTGGAATAAATCATAGGCATCATACAACAATGTCCTGTTTTCAAACTATGGCTCTTAGGGAATATAAATACAGTTTAAGGAGAAATGAAGAAATAAGGTGAGGCAAGCATTCGGCACAGTGTTTGAGGTGCTACCTGGAATGCCTGCATCCCATGTCAGAGTGCTTGGGTTCAAGTGCCAGCTTTTCTTCTAGTTCCAGCTGCCTGCTAATGCACACCCTGGGTGGCAGCAGGTGTAGCTCAGGTGCTTGGATCCCTGCCATGCATGTAGGAGACGCAGATGGAATTCTGGACTCCTGGCTTTGGTATGGCCCTGCCCCAGGTCTTAACATGTGTATGGAAGTGTTCCAGCAAAGGAAGATCTCTCTCTATCTCTATTTCTCTGCCTTTCAAATACACTTTTTTAAAAAGAAAAGAAACCAGGTAAAACAAATAGTAGAAATTTATAAATTAATTCAATATAAACATTGATGTCTTTGGAAGAAGCTACACTAAAACAAAGCAGTAAGTTCATTGCATTGCTTTATTTCACTAAAATTTAAATAAAATCTGTATTTAGGATCTGATTATATGACTATCTTCCTAATACCAAAGTATGATCCATAATCTTATTTTATTAAAACTTATGCAAACATTTCAAGAAATTTTAAAATATGTGTAGAAACACAGTGTGATTCATTTAAAATGCATTTGTTTAACTACCATCCTCCAAAACAAGCAAAAGCGCTCTCATCAAAAAGTGGAATTTATTATGATGTAGTGATTCTAATATTCATATTCTCTTATTTCTAGACTTTCTTTACAAAATTATCTTTTACCCCTTTTCTCCTATTTTTTACTCTCCATGAGCCATATGAGAGATAAAATGCACAGAATAGAGAACATTTAGGGAAAGGAAGTAGTATATTGTCTGAAAACAGATCTGGATTTGACCAGAAAATTTATATTTTAAATAAAATGATGAAATAACAAAAACATGTTTCCATGAATAAAGGTGGAAAAGCCTATTTGAATAAGTATAGGGTCACAAGTTTAATGGGTTTACTGCCCGAAGTTTGTATTCATGTCCTGTAAACCATACAAGTGGGAGTCATCATCACATTTTTCTTACTGTTTAGATGATTGAGTTTGAAAAGTTTCGTTGTGGAGACCCATCAGTCAAACAGACAGAATGTGTCAGACATATCGGCTACTGTAAAGGAACATAGAGTCAGCCCTTTGTTGGGTGGAGGCTGGATCCATGGATTCAACTAACTGCAGAGCAAAAATATTCAGAAAAAAACATTGTGTATGTACTGAACATTCACAGACTTTTTTCTTCTTATTGTTCCCTAAGTAATAAATACAGTAAAACAGCTACTTAAAAAGCATTTACATGGCATTAGATACTGTAAGTGATCTAGACATGATTTAAAGTAAACATAACAAGAGGGCATTTGGTGCAATAGTGAAGACACTCTTGGGATGCCTCCATCCCTTACTGGAATGTCAAGGTTGCAGTGGCAGCTCCACTTCTGACATCAGCTTCCTGTTAATGTGCACCTTGTGAGAGCTCAAGTACTTGGGTTCCTGCCACCATGTAGTAGACCTGAATTGAGTTCCAGACTCATGATTTCCATGTAGCCCAGCCCTGGCTGATGCAAATGTTTGGAGAATGAACCAGAAGATGAAAGATCTCTGTCAATTTTGTCTATATCTTCCCCAAGCTATGCACATAGGCCTTGAGTGCAATGTCTGCCCACCATATTTTATTTGTCCTCATAATTTGACACACCTTCTTCATACTATTATTCAGATTAAAACTTCTTAAATTATATAAAAGTATGTTAAATCAGAAATAACAAACATAATAATTTTTGAATTATATTTACAATTTTTTGAATAGATTTACAATTTTTCTCTAAAATTATATTGTGTCATTTCAACAAAAATTATTCCATATATTAAACTATCATGAATATTATTATTACATTGGATTTTAATATAAATAGGCTATCAAATTACCATCTCTTAGGTATGTATATGGTTTGCTTATGGAATGACAGTGGGTACACAGAAGTCAAATAAAAAAGGATAGACTTGTAAATCAATCCTGAATAATAGACTGATTATAAAGCTCTTTAACATATTGATAGAATAATTTATATATCAACCAGAGTGACCCATTTTATTGACCTGTTAAAAAGATCTGCTGGTTAGGAAACATCAAATTATTCAATTTAAACTTTGATATGCTTTTGACATCAGTAAAAATGTGTATATCCTAGTACACACCACAGATGCAGGTTGACTGAATGCAGTAGTTCCCCATTCTCTACAGCTTCACTTTCTGAAGTTCCAGTTACCGGTGGTCAACCACAGTCCAAAATATGAAGTGAAAAGCCCCAGAAATAAGCACTTCATAAGCTTTTGGTTGCTTGCTTTCTGAGTAGCATTATGGAATCTCACACAGTTTTGCCTAGGATGTGAAATCATCCTTTCATTCAGCGAATCTCACTCGGTTGTCATACTGATTGCCATGGCATTGTAGGTTTGTATTGAGGAAACCCTTATTTCACTTAAAAATGCCTCAAAGCACAAGCGTTGTGCTGCTGGCAGCATGCATATGCCCTACAGTAATGGTAAAGGATTTGCATTGAGTGAAAAAGGGAAAGTTCTTGACTTAAGGAAAGGGAAAAAACTGTACGCCGTGGTTGCTAAAATCTATGATGAGAAGAAATCTTCCATCAATGAGATTAACAAGTGGGAAAAAGAAATCTGTGCTAACTTTGGCTTCGTGTCTCAGACTATAAAAGTGATAGTCACTGTGTGTGGTAAGTGCTTAGTTAAGATAAAAAAAAAGGCATGAAATGATAAGGCTTGGTATTGTCAGTTGTTTCAGGCATATGCTAGGGACCCTGAGATGTATTTCTCCTGGGGATGAGGACAACTATGTATGGATATACGCCTGAAATGTGTGTGGTGACACTTCATTTCACTCCAACTTTTTACATATTTTTGAGTTTCCAAAAGTTACTGAAAATATCAGGTTTTATAACAATATAAAAGACTAAACAAGGAATGCTAGAATCCATCCAGTCCACATTATTTTGAAATAGCACTTTATATAAATAGATGAGCTTGGAATCAGAGAACTGTTGGAAGAAATTGAAATAGCTTTGAAATAAAATATAATAAGGTCTTTTAAAAAATATTGATTTATTTATTTGGAAAATAGAGCCTCAGGGAAACAGGAGGGAGGGAAGAAAAGGGAGAGAGAGAGGGAGATAGAGGGAGGGAGGGAGGGAGAGAGAGAGAAAGAGAGACAGAGAAAATGAGATCTTTCATCCAATGGTTTGCTTCCAAAATGGTCATAACAGCTAGCTGGGCCAGGCCGGGGCCAGGAGCCACAACTCCATGTGGGTCTCATTAGCGGGTAGCAAGATCACAAGCATGTGAGCCTTCTGCTGCCTTCCCAGGTTCATTAGCAGGGAGCTGGACCAGAAACAGAGCAGCTGCACTTGAACCAGCACACCAGTATGGGATGCAGGCATCCCACGTGGAGGCTTAATGTGCTGGGCCACAACTCTCACTTTGACAATAATATCTTTCATGCTGAAGTAGGAGTGTGCTGAAGATTGCATCTAGACTCAGTATTTAGCTGTCTGTTTAGCAGCTATCTGACTTACTTCACCTCTGCTTAAAGGAGTCTAAACAGCCAAAGGCCTGTTTTACCACTTCTAAATACAAGAAAGTCTATATTTGTAACTCAGAAGAAAAAAACTCTTTTGGGGCAGTGTATGCT